ATGTATTTTCACAAACTATATAAAATCAAGGGATCCCAAGTCTTTAAAATATTTCAAGAACTCATATTATTCAATTAAATATATGCAGAAGCATGATTAAAGAAACAAATCTCAACACGGGAGAAAAACTTCTCCTTTTATTTTCTCTCTGTGCCTTACTCCACATAATATGTATATTTACCAACATAACACTTAGTCACTCAAACCCTTCTATAACTGGCAGTGGGAAGCTAAGGTCTCAATCATATTTATCACAATAACTATTATCTAGTCATCATACTCTATGTATTATTTATTTATCAATAGCTCATTATATGCATGAATTTTTGTTTTCATATATATATATATATATATATGATTAATATCAACCACTCACCTTGAACAACAAAATATAAGGGGAGGCCATAACAATATTCAAATTCTCAAATCATGCATATAATAACTCTTTCTACTTGCACAAATATTTTAGCCTATTAATATAAACACAAGCACCAAATTACATACTCAAGGGCTTAAAATATATTTTCACCCAACACAAAATCTATAATGCAAGTGAATCAAGAATATATTATCCTAATTAGCAATATTATAAACTAAATACACATATAAAAATAAAAAGAAAAAGGCCTTCAAAGTGATTATTATCACTTGGTCTAATGCTCCTTTTCTCTATTTTTCTGAAATGAGCTAACTTCTGTAATACATTAAAAGATAAGGGTGAGTACAACCACTCAGTAACCAAAGTATATCTAAGTTATGTAAATGCATGACAATTAATCATGAATGCAAGTAGCTGATAAATTTATCTAAATAACCATGCAAACAATCATATCAAGAACAAGTTAATCACATTAATATCTAATTCATGTGAATAATCTCAATAATAACGTCAAGTACAAAATTGGCTTGATTGTCCACAAGTACTGAGTATTCGTACAAGATTGGCATAAATGATCACATATACATTATTTACATATTTATCACATGTTCTCATTTCTACAATTACAACTATAGTCTCAAATATAGCCATCAATCACTTAAATGACATGATAATAATCATATGCATAATCAATCTCTTTCTTAGGTCCCCCTCTTTCTTCTAACATGAAATCCGTGGGCCAATAGTCAAAAAGGGATTGTCCATGTGATGAAATTATCCAAGGCCTTAATCATATCGTAAGGGACTACTGGGCCAGAGTTACCTTATTCACTTATGAATACAGTTTCTCGCAAATCACACACTATAAGGTGTCATACTCAAGATTAGTTCTACCTAAAACTTCAGGTAGACCAATAGAGTTAAGTTCCTTAATAGAAACAATACTACAGTACTTTACAAGGCAAGTGGCGGCTATAACTCCTAGGATTATTGGTTAATAGCCAGGTATCATATGAATTTTGCACAACCTCTAGCTCCTTAACTAAGGCGAACTCCTGCTATATGATCATGCTCATGAGAAAATACATTTCAAAAACTTTATATATATATATATATATATAATTCACAATTATCTCACATGCTCATCAACTTTCTTGCTCAACAAGCATCAAGAATCATGATATTTCAATCATGCCACTTACATCAATTTTTATATTATCACATAAATTACATTAGCATCATATAAAACTCAACATGCTCATATACAATTCATCACTATGCATAATCCACAATTTATAATCAAGAGTATGCACATCATCATCAATCATCAATCTCATTACTCACACCAAGTCACAATTAACTTGGTCATAAATCATAGAGTCTCAACAAAGTCACATATGTATTACAAACAACCATTTCAAAATTTATATATATATATATATATATATGTTTTTTTGTTTCACCAACATAAACAATTAATTAACACATAAATGTATAAAATATATTTCTTCGTGGTTACCTCAACCTTTGAGAGGTCAAAGGTTACCCTTTAAATTACAACACTGTCAAAGTTTTTCAAAATTTGATCGGTGCTTAATAACAATTAATATACATTTAAATCACATCATAATGTGTCAATAATATTATTAATATAATTTTCATTCATATTCCATCACTTAGGTATTTATTTTATTTTGTTTCATTTTTTAAAACCTTAATCTTAGTTTTTTGAGTTCTAAAATTTAATTTCATATATTTGAACCTATCTACTTAGTTAATGACCTCCTTCACAATAATTTTATTGAAATTTGACTAAAATTATCATCCAAATAATTTTTTAATATCAAAATTTCTCTTTTTATTTCAAAAATTTACACTAAAATATTTAAAAATTGCAAACTTAGTCTCAAGCTTAGAATTATTATTCTATAGCCATAATAATTTATTTCTCATCTCAAATAATTATTTAGATATTAATAAATTAATTTATATCTTTATATTTAACCAAAAATCTATCCAAAAAGGTCTAGGGTTTAACCCAAAAGCCTCAAATTTAAATTTTATCAATAAAATAATATTTTAAAATATTTATTATGCTATCAATAACTTTAATAATCAAATTTATTCATCAAATATTCATCTCTCTTTCAAACTCTAAATTTTAAAATCTCAAAATCTGAAACTCAATAAAAAATATAATTAAAAAAATATTTAAAATATTTATTTAATTTTAAAATACTTAAAATCTTATTTAAAATATTTTATTAGGAGCCTTGAATCAACTGCCTCTCACCGTATCGCGCAAGAGCTCTGTTTCGTGCTTCTCTGTACGCGCCCAAGAAAGAGGAAATGAAAATCAAGGAAGGGAAATGAATGATGCGTATGTTGCTTCTTTTTTTTCAATTTTAAAAAAATATGTGGGTCCCACGGGTTTTGCTCCTTTAGATGTTGGTCGCAAGGAAATTTGCCCGAGGCCTACAATTTACAAATAAGTCCAAAAGGAGTGAGAAAATTTCCACTTTGACATAATCAGGTGGAACGTCATGAACTATGCCACTGGCTGCTACAATCCTTGAAGCTGAAGAAAAGAATGGGAGTTAAAAGATGCCTGATAAGTTGATACTTCATCCGAGTACATTTTATGACGTGTTTTATCTATTTTTTTTTTTCTATCGAGCAAGTGAAAATTAAGGACCCAGATAAATAATTCTCTTTTTGGTCAAAAAGAACCCCAAACATATATGATAGAGCCTCTCTCTGTAGAATGTCGATAATGCGCGGGCCGCACTGAAAAACAGAAAGCTCCCCCTCATCCTGACGTAAGCCTCAGAATAGAGCTTAGTTTGATGACATTAACACACATCATCCTGCCTTGCCTGTGGATTCTTTTTCTCAACAAAGAGCTATCCTTTTCTTTGTCTAAAGGATCAAATTTTATCAAAACAGATTTACAGCGACGAATGGCTCGCTGATGAGGATGCTTTGACAGAAAGTAAAGGAATCACGATGTGCCAAAATACAACATAGAGATGAGTAAAGATGATGCCAAGTTACATGCATATGATTTTCTTGATGAAAACTTTGGACCTTTCATTTTTTAGATTTGTGATATCTGCGAACCTGCATTTTTTTAGCCTAGAGAGCATTCAAAGACTAAAAAAGGTTAATCTTGTGTCCAAAGTAAAAACACGTCAAGCTCGACCCACATGTTCTGAAATTTTCCGGCAAAGTTTAATTTGATTCTCTCGAAAATGCGACATTAAGCTTTAGCCGCAATCACCAACGCTTTATCCAAACTAAATATACAATATGATAATATGATATGGAATTTCACTTCATCGACAACAAACCAATTTAAAAAAAAAAAAAATCTACGGCTGGTTGACTGTCTTTTATAACTTCAAGAATTCAACGAGACTCGCAAAAGTGGATTCCAACCGTTCTTCTCCAGTCCACTCTTATCTCCTTGTGGTTCAAAGCTCTTGTCTTTTACTTTCTTCTCCATTGCGTGACCTTTCTAAGGAGGCAGCGGCATTTAGACAAATTGGATTCCACTGAACCAAAAGTTCATTTCCCATTTCGATGATATTGGACTATATATGGAATCAGAATTACCACTAAGGGCGAATTCAAATATAACTCGAGATCTTGTGTCGATGTGCTTAAAAGTGGATAGACAAGACACTGGTTCTGTCTTCTGAGGCCCAAATAGCGCAGATGCTTTAGAAGTAGTGCATCACAATAATATGCCCTAGTAGAGGCTTTTGAAAAAGATTGTGGATAGGTTTCGACTCCGCGAGTGGAAGCTTTGTAATAAATTAACCCATTCGAATTTTGGGAGGTCTAAGTGCCTTCTTTGACCAAATTTCTTCATAATTTTCAAGATGGTTAACTAATATATTTCTTCCTTAACCGTACAAGATTTAACTATGAGTAGTATTTGGGTGAATCGAGATCTAAATGCTTTCATTTGGTACCCTAACATTGTGGGGGTTGACCAAATTTTGCGAATATCGGCTGTGTTTGGCATAATAAATTGGCAGGAAACCACCAAACGTAATATCTGCTGCATATTCCCTCGGCTTTCAAAACTACCATGCTTTTCTGTTCTCTTTCCTTCATTTATTTCAATTTGAAGTTGGTACGGGACGGTAGAATTCATGAGTAGATTCACCCTATAGCTTAACGGATTTTGGGATTTTAATTATAAACCTACCATTGGAAGATAGATTGAGTCCTGGCAAAGGAAAAAGACAAGCAGAGCCATCCAGCAGAGGAAAGTGAGGGACATTGCACAAGAAGGTCCCACCTTTGGTTCCCTTTGGGTTCATAGGAATTAGGAATCAACCAATACGAATAAAGAAGAGAGGTTGGGGGGTTAAATTTTGAGATAACCACTCGAAACCTGTACGCTTGTTCTGAGGCTTTTTGTTTTGTTCTGATTCTACTTTTTCAACCAGCTAAAAAGCTTGAATTTTGAAAGAGCTCAATGCATTAAAAGTTCTAACCCATCAAACATAACTGCGTTTCGGCCTGCGGTTGAGAAAGATCGCACCACATTAACTAGGGAACTTGTAGCTAGAAGGTGAAATAACTTGATTGACAGAGCCAGAGAGGTAAATGGAGTATTGAATCATGGAATTGAATTATAAAAAAATTGACACTGGATGGATCGGCACTTTATCAATGCCTCTCTCAAAAATGATACTACTTGTTATAATACTCACATCCCTACATTCGTAATCATCCCAAAAACAATCGCTAATGCTACTACTAATATTGCTTTTCTCTGACTCTTCCAAATTATTGCTGGTCGATGCTTCGACTCCTCCTTCATTCCCCATCGTAGCGATCCAATTCTCATCTTCTATCCAATTGGGTTCCCCTGAACCCACAGCTAACCGTCTGATTCTACCAGCTGGCGAATTTTCGAAACTTGTGTGACTATGGACTAGATTGCCCACACTATCTGATTCTTCCACACAACTCCAAAAGCCTTGTTCCAGAATACTTGTTGGAGAACTTGAATTAGATTCGTGGATTTGCTTAGAATTGGAATTCAATTCCTCCAGAAATGGATGCTTCAGTAGTTGACTTGCCGTCCATCTCTCTTTCGGATTCCTCCTTAAGCACTTTCCCAAGAAATCCTTTGCTTCCTCTGATAGAAAACCCGGAATCTCCGGCACCTCACCGGAATATGCTATCCGGTAAAGAACTGAAACGGGGTCTCCTACGTTAGGCCATGGGGAAAGCCCAGAAACCACTTCAATGACGGTGCACCCAAGTGCCCAAATGTCAGAAGGACACCCCTGTTCTTCGCCTCGCGCCACCTCCGGCGCCATAAACATCGGCGTCCCACTCATGGGCGCTGCCGTCTCCCACCGCTTAGCACATCCAAAGTCTGCAATTTTGGCTCCACCTTCGCCAATTAAGATATTGGTACCCTTAATGTCACAATGTACCAACCCTTTTGAATGCAGATACTCTAGCCCCTGCGCAACTTGCCGGATGTAGCGGGCGATCATTGGCTCGTCGAGGCGGCCACCCTGCGGCGAGTCGCTTGAAGAAGCGTTCCAAGAGGCATATACTCCATGAAAAGATTGTAGAAGACCTTGCTGTTCTCCTTCGTGATGTCACACCCTTTATAGCTAACTATATAAGGAGAAGACAAGGAAGAGAGAATTCTCTGCTCTCTCTGTAACAATTCCGAGCAAGAAAGCTCCGACGACTTGACAGCGAAGAAGGCTTCGCCATACTGGGAGAGGAAGCCAGGGAGACGGTGGCCGATGAGCCATGGCCTAGGATGCTGCCTCTACTCCAGTTCATATTGTAAAAGGAAAAGGACTCTGCTTCGAAATGCAGGGTCTAACTTTGTGATGGACGGCTTTATATAATACGGAGGCACTCTGGGGGTAGTTTTAAAAAGGTTCGTTTTATTCAGGCCAGAAAAAGGGTTTCGTTTTATTGGTTGATAACTTTGTTGGCTCTCTCTCTCTCTCTTTCTCTCTCTCTCTAGAGCTGACTATTCCTTCAACCAAGACGTCAAAATTTGGATGGAATTACGTTAGTGTGGGAAGTGGCATGTGGGCAAATTAAGTACACGCTATACGGAGAATTGAATTCAAGTTTATAATTTTGTCTAGGAGAGTGCAAAAAGTAGATAGAATTGCATTAGATTATAATAGGTTTGGTGGCATGTGAAGGGAGAGGTTGGAGTTTGGATGAGGTTTGATCAGAGGGACAATCAAGACTATAGGTTCCATATTTTGTATCATAGTTAGCTAAACTTTGAAAATCGTTTTGTGGGTTTTTAAAAGTAAAGGTGAATGGGGAGGGTTGAACCACCGAAACAGTTGAATTTGAGTATCTTTTTTCAGGTTCTATGGTGGAAGTTTTAATTTTATAATGCTATAAATAAAAAATCGATCGTGTTTAAGAATGGTTAAAGTCAAACGACGCCGGTAATTTGTTAGAAGTCAAAAGCCCGAATGATAAACTGGCCACGTTATTGTGTTTGGGTTCTGGTCTTTCTTTCTTTTTATTTTCATCCAGTTGGTGTCCCAATTATAATATATTGACACGGACTTGATGAAGCTTCATCAATTTGTGGTCTCATCACGTAGTGTCATTGGTGAAATGTACTTTGGCTTTAATTTCAGCGTAGTCCTAATGCGGGAATGGACATTTTCGGCAGGGAAATAGAAATTTAGAAGACTTGCAAAAGTCAAAAACTATGGGAGAAGAGACTGGTGATTGAGAAGTGCATGTTGGAATCCTTCGATTTTTTTTTTTTGTATTGGTCAACTTAAAGACTTGCAAAATTGTGACTTTCGAACCATCCATGTGTGACTATAATCGGATCATAAGTTCGCTGCGCACTACTTCAACTCATCAGGGGGCTGGTGGTCGTTGACGCTAAAAATTGGATTCTAAATACAAAAGCGAGCAGTAATAGAACTGTTCTATTGAAAAAATAGTGATTGGGAGCGCCCAAAAAAAAATTATTATAAAAAGATGTTTAAATGCAATATAAACAGAATCGATTAAAATTTTGAAAGTATGGTAAAGTTTGCGCGGGTGGCTAAAACTAACTTGATTTATTTATCTACGTTGACATGAAGAATTCATTCCCGGTTTGTAAAATAGTGGTTGCTTCATAATGTTCGCTTCTAGAAAGGTAGCAAAGGCGGATTGAGTTTGAATATAACTATTCCAAAAAAAAGAAAAAAAAAAGGACAAAAACCAAACCCGTTGAATCCGGGAGTATTATGTACCAAGTGAAGTAATAATGATAATAGGAAGAGTGGGGGGCACTTTCAAGTTTCAAGCAGCCCTCACAACATTTCGTATCTTTCAGGCCCAGAGGACATGCTCCATTTAAGTTTGAAACTAGGCAAGCTGTTGAAGCACCAGGGAGCGATTGATTGGGTGGTTTGGGAATCGCTGAATGAGATATTCTGAGGTTTCGCTTAATATGAAACCATCCAAATGAGAAAAGTGTCATTTCAAGACCAAGAACATCAATCATTGCGGGGTGGGTATTGTTTGACGTTCATCACTCTTTTCTCTCCCAACCAAATTTTTGCTTGCCAGCGTTGGGAACCCGGGCGTCCGAATCGTGAAAGTAACGTTATTCTCCAAACTTAATTTATAATTAAAACGTTAACAATAAGCACGCCCTAGCTAATCAAATATATATTCTTAATGCCCCCTATATAACTAACTCCCAATTAAGGACCTCATAAAAGGAGGTTGGGTGGTGTGATGTTGAAGATAAGCCATAAGAAAAAGAGCAGAGCAAAAGAATAGCGTAGAATACAAGATTGGTAGAAAATTATGCCCTACGTGTATTTCACCATGCTAGACAGTTATTTTCCCTTTTTTAATTAAGAAAAGTAAGAGTAAAAATTGTTAAAAATTATACCTAGAGTCAATCATTGTACTATAAACATTATTATTTAATGAATTTCTCTTTTATTATCATATTAATTGCATGTTCACTATGATAATTGTATTCTTAAATAAACTATAATAATTGTCCTATTTTTGGTAAGTCATCTATGAGGGAGTATTGATGAAATAAGACTAGTATAATTTTAATTAATTATAAAAATATAAATCAAAGTTGTAGACACTTAAAAGGGTATAAGGTGCTGGATCGACCTGTGATAAGAGTTGCATGGTACAAGTTATAAGCTTATTTCATATATAATTATGTTACTAAACCTTTTGACCTGAAATCATCATGAATTATCCTAAAAAGAAAAGGAACGTCTAACTGAGGCAGAAAATCAAATCTTTAAAGTTTCTGCACGCATAAACATTAGATATTGAAAGCGTTAGCATGTTGTTCATGTTGGTAAGCTATTCATGTGAATATCGATAGAGGAAACAAATCTGTGTTATTAGTTCCTCAGGTTTAAAGGAAATTAAAAAATTTGACATTTAAAAGATAACTCTTATATCTATTTTAATTTAAAAAAATTCAATCAATCTACAATCACAATTGAAATTTTAATTTTTAATTTTTTTGATGCGCCTCTTTATCTAACAAAAATATGTATGATAAAGGGTGAGAATGCTTGGAAGTACAGTGGCGAGCTGTTAGTGTGAAGTAATCATAAAAAGTGAAGGTATTTGTAGATGAAGTGAAGAGGGTGAGGTTTGCTTGGGTTAGTTGAGGGGAAACGCTTAAAAGGGGCAAGAGTGGCGTGGCTTGAAAGTTATGGTACGCATAGTGCGGCTGCTAATGATCAAGATTGAAGAGACTCAAGGCCTTTAATTTGATCACACGCCAGTCACGTGGTCCTGATTATACTCTTGCCTCTCCTCTTTTTAAAATAAAATAAAAAAAACAATTGTCATATACGTACGTACGTTCACGCGGGAGTGACAAACGAACGCGGGTGGGGGTAACACGTGTGAATTGCGAGAGTATATATAAAGAGCACGTTTATTACGCGGGGCCATCATTTCGCTGTCCCTAACAACATTTAAAAGTTACGTGTGGACATTGGTGCCTCCACGTCCTCACTTTCCATGCGTTTGGTGCCCTCCTAGTCTCCTATTAAAATATTACCACCAGGGCCTCCGGTGCCATCTTTTGTTTTTTCCCAAACAGTTGCATTATTTATTTCCTTCCTGTATAAAAACTAGTGGATTTTTTTTTTTTTTATCATGCTTCTCTTTTCAGCGGAATATACTTTCATTTTATTCTTCATCTGCACGTGTACGTTCGTTTCTTGTCTTTGATTGTTATAGCTTTGGCCCGAATAATTATTTGGATAAAATTTAATATATTTTTCTTTAATTAATTACACCATTTTTTTTAACATACAATGTGTGATGGTCGAATATATTTTCATCTCCTCACTATATATATATATATATTTACATGTTGAAGATTGATTTAAACCATTTTATCAGGTCCAAAAGTCAAGGAAAGTCGACGTTGATCTATCTTCAATATCACTTAGTCAAATTGTATCATGATGTTGATGTTGCTTGGAATTAATAAGATTCCGAGAATACACACACATGTATAACATGCATAGAATCATTCTTCTTCTTCAGAAGGAAAACACAAAATCTTGAGAGTCCCTGGGTTGGGAAGAAAAAATAATATTTCTCATTTTTAAATTATAAGACACTTTTAAATAAAATTTTACATATCAATAAACCTCATTAAATACACTTAACAACTTTATCTTTTCAAAATAAAAATATAAACTTTTAAAAATACTCATAATTTAATATATTAAAAAAAGAAGTGATGAAAATTAATTATAAAAAGAGAAAAAATAATATTAAAATTAGTGTATTTAATAAAACTCTAATCTACTCAAAGTATCTTATATTTTAAAATAAATTTATTTTAAAGTATCCTATAATTTAAAATGGAGGTAATAATAAATCTTCAATTGTCTGCTATGAGAAGCCACGAGGGGCTTATAGCTTTATGAAATTGGTTAAAATCAAATTTCCATGTGGTTTTTCCTGTACGTTAACTTGTGAGTAAATATCATGAAAGTGTATGCGCTGTACGCAGGTCTTACATGTTAGTCCAATCCCTAAATTTGGAAATTGGTAAGAGACACTAAACGTAGGAACAGACCAAGGTTATGACCTGCAAAATAAATATAAAATCCTTTAATTCAGATAATATATTATTCGCATTACATTGCATCTCTTTTCCATTTTATTATGAGAGATCGTACTTTGCATTCTGATTTCTAAATCATTCACCCATTTGATCGATAAAAACAAGAAACAAGAATACAAGGGGAAAACATTAACTTATCTTCCAGTTCAAATTAAAGGAAACAGAGTAGAGATTGCCATTGGATGGTCACAATGTCGCCTTTTTTATTTTTAAAATTATTATCATTATTAGATTTTGATGGGTGCTTTTAACGTGCAAAAAGTAAAACAGCGGTACTTTGTTTTGATTTGGGTGGCCCAAAATATGATGGGCTTGATTAGCCGACAGAGTTTGAATTAATAGTTACACGATACGTTTTTGTAATTCGCCGTGACAGACCGTAGATGTAGTCACTGCAATATACCAATATCTATTTTTTTTTCTTTTAAAATAAAAAGTAAATAACTAAACTGCAATATCTTAAAAAAAAACAAATTATTATGATTATAATTGCTTAGGAAAAGCAAAAGCAAAAGCAAAATTCATTCTTTTGTCACTTCATGAATGGACCTTAAATGGTCCTAAACAACAGTATCTCCTCGCACATATGCATAAATAATTGGGAGAATGGCATCAAGGGTCTCTAAAAAACACATAATTGTAATTTGGGCTTGAAAAAGTCTGACATTACACTATAGGTCTTGGGACCCTTATTGTAATTTTTCTTAAAATTAAAAATATATTTTTACCTTTTATTTGACTTGAATTCAGAAAATTTGCACGAAATCATACACAAGACAGCATCCATTATGTACAAGACAGTGTTCATATATGCTCAACTCAAAGATCATGCCTTTTTAGTATTTCAGTAGCCTAAACCCAACAAAATGGACAACTTAGGCATATTATGCATAACGCAACATCCACTGTGTACAAAACAATGCTCACATATGTTCAATTCAAATTTCATGCTTTTCCAGTATTTCAATAGCCTAGGCTCAACAAAATGAACAACTTAGGTAGATCATGCACAACATAACATTCACTATACATAAGACAATGCTTACATATGCTCATGCCTTTCCAGTATTAAAAAGAACAATTACATTATATATGAATAATTTTATGTTAATACTGGCCTTGCTACTAAAACAAGTACCCATATGAATTTTGATATGATATTTCAAGTCTAATACATATAAAAAGTTAGCAATTATATTCAAAATATCTAACAGTTACTTCTCTAGATACAGACAAAAAATATTTGTGATTTTTAATTATCCAAAAAATATTACTTGAGAATGTTTTAATATACATAATTATAGTTGCCTATATACACTAAAAAAGTATAATATAACTACTTATGCTAGGTTAGGATTCTTGCATGTCTTACAACTATGTTCAACCACTTCATATCTTGAACAATAATAAATCTTCTTATATTAAAATTGAGATTCTATTTTCCTTATTTGTGGCCTCCCAAGAAGACGGCTGGTTAAAGGCAATTACAAAAAAGTTTGTGATAAGTTATCTATCAATGTTGCTATATTGGTGGGCTAAGCTTAACAAAATGCATAAGTAAGCAAATAATATACAATACAATATCAATTATACACAACACAAGGTTCATATATTCTCAACTAAAAGTTCATATAATTTTAGTTTATCAATAGGCTAGGCTTAATAAAATATTCGAGTTAGGCAATCTACTATATACAACACAAAATCCATCATACATAACACAAGGTTCATATATTCTCACTTGAAAGTCCACATGATTTCAGTTTATCAGTAGGTTACACTTAACAAAATTCTCAAGTTAGGCAAATAATATACAACACAATATTTACTATATATAACACAAGGTTCATGTATTCTCAATTGAAAGTCCATATGATTTCAATTTATCATTAGACTAAACTTAACAAAATGCACAACTTAACATTTAACAACAATAACTCCAAGTTAGTTTTTGCAGAACAAATATTTCAACATTTCTATATTAGATTTTCTTTATATTAGGGCATATTTTATTCAATTCACATGTTAAAGTTCAATATGAACAAGTCAACTATCATTATTGTACAACAACTAATCCATTCTAAAACTTTCACGACCAACTTAATGGTTCAACAACTTTTAGCTTATATTAGTAGTAAGATCACAACTAAAATTCCAACCAAAGGCTTTCCCATCTAATTAAATATTTAGTTAAAATCCAACTATTTTGGATAATCCTTTCATTAATTATATGGGGCTAAAAGCTAACAAGCTTGTTTCATCACTCTCTACTTGTGGTTCAATGAAGGAAACATGGCCAAGCGAGAAGCAATCAACAGTAACAAATATTAAAAGCCAACAAAATATTACATCACTCTCTGCTTGTGGTTCAACTGTCAGTTCTTTCTTGTTTCAGCATGAAAATGGTGGATATCATCCTTAATCAAAGCTCAATAAATAAATTTTCAATTGAAGCACTGCTTAGAATGGAGGACTTTTGAATTCTATGCACCTTGAAAGTTACTCTTCGCAATTAGAGTTGAGAAACCTTTGCATCTTCCAACGAAGTAGCCTTCCCGCATTTGTCATCAATCCCACAGCTCTCTATTCATTCATTTTCATTTCTTTTTATAAAAGGTAAAATTGTATTTTTGGTGTGAAGAAAAATTGTAATAAAAATCCTAAGACCTACAGTGGAATATCAAATTTTTTCAAATCTAAAATACAATAATGTATTTTTTAGGGTCCTTAATGTGATTCTTCTTAAATAATTTCATATGATGGACTAGCATAGAGACAAAAGGCTCTGAAAGAAATTATTATTATTAGTATTACTTATTAGTCTGTCAGTCACTGTTACTATTGCATATTTCATTTTTTTGGTCAAATATCTTCGCAAACTGATAAGTGGATCAGAAGACAAGATCATCTCACGCCCAGAAAATCGAAACCGAAAAGGTCAAAGCCCAGGCCTCTAAAGCATGTTTTGTTATTCCATTTGTCCACTTGAAAATCCATTTGCAGAAAGAATGACATAGACGGATACTAAATGTCAGCAATTTTCATAATGAGAATTCAAATATTTATTTGCCACGTGGTGAGTAACTATTCTCTTTAACCGAACTCAATCCACATTAGTATAATCGAGATAATTTCACGAGATATAACATTTGGATAGGCACTTCCAGAGATAGTTATTTTAAAATGTGATCCAATATAATCCAACCCAAATATATTGTAGGATGAGTGAAACAAAACCTCAAAAGAAGCTAAGCCACACCACACACATTTACAATATAGATAAACATTGTAAGATATTCATCTATAATTATATCTGGTGAATTAACACATGAAAATTCCATGATATGAAAAGATTTGAGGTATTAACAAAAAGTTTAAAAATAGTACAGGTATTTTATAGAAAACAATTGACTGTATATATCCTACTATCTTTAAAAAAAAAATCTTAAGCATTATCGAAATAGTTTCTTTTTCGTTCGATTACTTCTCGGAAAAAAAAAAAATTTCTTCTCTTCTCTTGATCACACTTCATCGCCATATCCTACTCACGATTATCTCTCGCACCGTCCTCAGAAAATTTAGTGATTTTACTCGAGTCAATCACTTAACATCCTATAGTTTAGATGTTCAATTAAGTTACATAACATATCATAACAACTTGTCCAGTGTTCACCTCCACTGATTGCATTCTTCACGATGGACATGCGGTGAGATGCAACTCCAAAACACTTATTAATTATTTCAATTTGTTTTAGGCTTCCTGTTATGTTCCCTAGCATTATTTTAACCTTTTCTTGCATGAACAAAAAAAAATAACACAACGAAGATAACAAAAAATAATAACTTCTACAATGTCGACCAAAAAAACTCATTATTTCAGTATCATTACAAAATTTGCGCATACTAATAATGCGCTTTCCTTAGTATATAAAATTTTAACTGAAGGAAGAATTCTAATCAAGATGTATCTCTAATTCTTACACCACAAAGTCGGAGGAAAAAGAATGAAAATATTACCCGAACAGTAAATCAAGAAAAAAAAAAAAAAAAGAGGGTGAGGTGGAAGGAACCGATGTTTTGGCCGGACTCGAGTCGCCAATTTTGTCGCTTCAGCTGGAACTATTGTTGTTGCCAGTCGTAATATTGCCACTGTTATTATTAGGCGGAAGATTACCACTATTGTTGCTATTATTGTTCTGCTGAGCACCGCCAATAATGGAAGTGATAGCCGCTGCCAGGGCTGCCGTAAAGTTGGGGTCAGAAGCAATGGCAGCGGTAGCGGCACTCACCGAGTCAGCCAGGTGTAGTGGCTGCGGCGCTGCCTGAGACGATTGGGAAGTGTCAGCATCTTGAGACAGTTGAAGCCCCGAAAACTTTGACTGGTTGTAAAGCGCCTGACCAAATATGTGAGGCAGTAATGAAGCAGAAGAATTGGCCAAGGTGTGAGGCGCGAAAGGGATTTGAAATTGGGTGGGAGTTCTAGGGAAGTGTAAGGGGTTAGGGTTCTGGGTTAAGTCCAATGTAACAGTGGGAAATGGAGCTGAGGCTGAGATAGTAGCCATGCTAGACGAATAAGGAAGCAAAGTCCGTGTGAGAAAATTTTGGTTCATTAAGCCATCCGTACTCGACGATGGTCCTGACAGTAACATTCTTGCAGCTGACGAGGTTGTTTGTGCCATTGCCATCGCTGCCTGAGGCAAAGGATGGTTATGATTCCCTTCGTAGGTTGTGATCAGGATCGTTCTGTCCTCAGCACACCTTTGTACCTGTGTGTATAAGATATTAGAAATCCAATATATTAGCCCCTAAGTCGGCTAACATCCTTATAGTATATGTTACTAGCTAGGGTAAAATATGATGGAAAATACCTGTTTCCTGACTGGACAACCAGCCGCCATGGTGCATCTATAGTAAGCACGAGGACACGGATTTCCTTTAGCCATCTTTTGTCCATATTTTCGCCATTGACATCCATCCGTGATCTAGATGATATTAATTAATAAATATTAATATTAGATTAGTTAATTAAATTATTATTTTGGAATGGAAGGCATGAAATGTTGTAATTAAATACAGCGTGTTCTACCATGGCTGCCTCTGATCGTGTTCGAACAGAAACTCTAGCCTTTCTGATGGTGGCCTCAGCTTGATCAACACTATCTGGAGGAGTGCTGATCTTCGAAATCTTGTCAACAGAGAAAGCTTGGGCTGGGGGGCTATCGTCTCTTCTAATAACCTTACCAAATTCTTTAGCATCACTGATTTGATTCTTTCCCGGGTCAAAATCTTTGGAAACCCCCTGTGCCGGCGGGGGCGATGCACCTCTTGCCAACGTGGAAGAAACAGAAGGTTTATCCACGCTAGCATTAGTGGCAAGTCCAAGATCTATAAACCGTGCGCGTCTTGGCACCAATGCTCCTCCCATTTGTTTCTTTCCTCCTTTGTCGTCGAGTATTTCTTTAGTATTACCGTTCACCATGTTCATATATTGCGTATGCAGCCCACTGTAATTGTCAGTCGCTTCATTGAGCATTTCTCTCAAACGATTGTTTTCATCTTTCATTTGCACAAACTTCACTTTAAGAGCGTCATACTGAACCAGCAAAAGAGACATGTATATGGATGAAAACAATAAATAGATAATTTGAACTGTGAAATGTTGCAAAACTTAATTGTCCTACCTCTTCATGAGGCGTTTTATGTACTGAGGTTGATAAACCATCTTGTAGTGCAGAATGATTACTACCAATATTAGTAGTAAGAAGATTTAAGCCAGTCTAAAAGTAAATAGGAGAAGTTCATAAGCATATAATAGCAAGAGCGATAATTAAGGAAGATCATATCATATAGAAATGATTTGATAAAGGAAAATTTGCCGATCGAGGGGACAATTACTTACATTGATATTAAAGGGCAAGAGCCGCGGAGGGGATAAGAAATCAAGTTTGGGAAGGGCGGAGGCGGCGGAGGAGGAGGAGGAGAACTTGTCGTCCTTGTTGGAGAAGAAATCCATTTCGTCGATGTGGGCTCTAAGGTCGTCAGGATGAAGAGAGGGTTCAGTTTCGTGATCGGCGGGAGATTCGTGGTGGGAATAATTGAGGTTCACCCGCAAGGGAGACCTCTTGCCGCCATCCATGGGATCTCTGACGAGAATCGACTTATTGGTGAGGTTGGTGGAGTAATCTTCAGGGAAAGAGTTTAACACGAAGGGCTCGTCGAGGAAGAAGCTGCTCCCAAGTGGATCTGATTCAATGGAGATTCCACCCCCTCGGGCCATCAATATCTATACGGCTCGAGAGAGGATAAAAACACAATGAAGGACTCAGATTGTTGCAAATGATGCAACAGATTCGGCGATAAAAGAGGGGAAAGCTCAGTCGACTTGGGAAGAAGATCGACCCCTATTCAAGTGATGTGTATACTTGGAGAACAGTCCTTTATGTTTGCCTTGTGTGTAACGATCACATGCGTACGATTGGACTCAATTTTTGACTTTTCTTAATTTTAATTTTACCTTACCCATTGATCCCGTATTCTCATCCAAACATAGTCCACACCAGTAAAAATTATCAATACAAATTTTTTACAGAGTCAGATGAGGATAACTTTTTAAAACTTTTTTAAGATCGATAAGTAGGATTGTGTAAAAGTCTTTCAATTTTATCTAATTCAATTTAACTTGAGATAATCTAGTTCTATTCGATCTGTATAAACAATGATCCTTTAAGATAAAAAAAATTAAAAAAACTAGATTATTTTTTTAAGTTAGACTGGACAGAAAATTAAACATTTGAACTACTTCATCCAATCTGGTCATATTAATTTATTTAACATAATTATAATTTATTTAATTTTTTACAAATTCTTCAAGTATAATTGATGTTAAGGAGATGATTGTATGAAGATTTATTGAAATTATTTTTAAATTTTTGTTGTAATGTAGTGTTGTTGAAGTTTATTTATTGTTGTTTTTGTTAAAATTATAAATTTAAATTATTTGGACTGTAATTAAAATATTTTTTCTTGTTATTAAAAATTATTATAGATTTATTTTGATTATAAGTATTTTTATCATCTTAATTGTATTTATCAGATTAAAATAGATTATTGCCTCTCATAGAGGGAAAGAAACTAAGTGAATAATGAATTAATAAGATCAGTCTCTCAATCCTATAGATCAAATTCGGTCCTATTAAACTTTGAGTTATCACTGAATATGATCAGATCACGAGCTGTCTAACCTAATTCTTTTCATGAAAGAGATTGAATTTCAGATTAGGTTGAAATCTAATGCCGTTCAATCTTTTGTGCAGCCCCATGGAGAAGTTTTAAATTAAATTATTGATTCTTGAATAATAATCCGTACATTAATATACTTGGAAAATATATCTAGCGAGCTGTTCTTTTATATATAAACATACATGCTCACACGTGTTTTCCCACTCTAGCAATTCACGGAGAAGTTAAATTTTGAGTTTTCATCCTTTAATTATTTTGTCATATAAGATATGTTGATCGCATGAGCAAATTAATCACTAATAGGTCCCCTAAAATTGTTTTAAGTTTTCAATAATTAAATCATTGAAGCTCATGTCTGAGCGATGCTTCGAGAAAAATCCTTGATATAAATGCTGCAACAGTAATTTAAATTAACATATATAAGATCATACAATGTAACATTGATTTCCAGAAATCATTTGGTTACATTCAACACAAAAAACAAATGGTGGGGTTACATAACAATGCTCCCGTGGTTAATGGAAATTATATAATAATCATGAAAAAATAAAAATTTTTTTAAAATAAACATTTCCAGCTTTAATAGTTTTTTTTAAATAAGCGAAACCCGAGGGAAGTTACGATATAGCAGAAAAAATTTATTACTGAGTTAATATGCATAGGTTAATGTCATTTAAATAAATTGACAATTCATGGCTTCGAAAATCACAGGTCTTTTGACTCAGTGGGCCGTCACAAATATATGTTTGAAGGTGAGTTTGTCACGCGTCACGTTGGAGCAATTGGTCTTAAAAAAATAGACAGTGAAATGAGATTTGAGACGAAGTGACATTTGAACAAATTAAATTAAAATTACTAACAGTTATACGGAATGCCATTTATGTCGCGTCAACTAGGTTTTAAAACAATAAACACCGTCCCATAATTTTCTTTTTAAATAACACACGGGCTTCATTTTATTTTATTTTATTGTTTCGATCGGCCGAGCTTTTTTTTTATATAGAAAATAGTAGAAGATTTTTCTATTTAAAAATAGGGTTTTTGATAAAGTGAAAATAGGAAGGATTTTTTAACATTAATTAGATGATCTTATTTTAAAAAAAAAAAGGAAGAAGAAAACGAGGTTGATTTGGTTGACAAGAGTTGGGGGAGGAAAATGATTATTATATTAAGAAACTCATGGAAGATAAGATTCTGCAAAGTTAGAAAATGGATCCAAAAAGATGGGGAAAGGTTCTGAGCTTCTGGCGAAAAGGCAGGATAACCATCGGTCAAAGCTTTTACGATAGAGTGGGGTCCACGGCCAGTCTTCCACGTGTCCCCGTCTTTCTCTGTCTGCCATTTATCTCTCTCTGCTCTCCTCCACTTCTGGCTCCCTCAAATTTAATATATCTATTAACGCAGTACATAGTATACCAGTAAATAAATGTCGTTTTTTTTTTCGCTCATAAATTTGTTGCTATTTACTTATTTACGTCGTATACTGCTTCTTAATTTTGTATAACTATTAACTAACCAATTACCAATACCTTCCTCTCAAACATTTCCGCTTGACGTCCAACAAACAAGAAAAATATAGGTCCCAACGAAATAAAATGACTCTGCCCAAAAACACATTAACAGGGTTGTGTGGGTTTGGGTAAAGGCTGATACGAATACGATTCAACACAACGACTTTCGGGTTTAATATTAATATTAATAATCGTAACTCATGCACTTTGAATTTGTGGTCTTGTTCCACGCTACATTCTCAATCAATCGCTTGCCAGACCTGTCATTTCAATAGCCATGTGTTTCGTTTCTTTATAAATCCGGACATTAATAAATATTTCGGTTAAGGTTGTCCTCGAAATTTTCAATAGATTTTTAGGTGGTTGTTTCTTGTTATGCTTTTTTTGTGGATGAGGTTTCATGCACTTATTTTAAAAAAAATTTCAATTGATGCAACCTACCTTCTTAAGTTTTTTTTTTTTTAGAATTCATTGATTTATTGACTGAAAAATTCTTCTACATTAAAAATATGAATCAAATTTTTAAAAATTTAATCGATTTATGTTAATATATAAGATGATTATTATTGATATATTAAAATTTATTATTAAAAATTTAAAAATTTATAAAGAATTTATTATTAATATATAATGATATATTATTAAAAAATATAATAAATCGGTCATAATATAAAATATAATAAATGTAAAATTATTTACTTAATTTGGTATATAAAAGTTTCTTTTTTTTTGACACAATTTTATTTCAACATTTTTTATTTGGTTCAATATTGCCCCACTATTAACTCCGACCTTGTTAATTATTAGTTTATTGTTAATTTCAATTTAGCAACCTACATGGCAAATTTTATTAAAAAAAGAAAAAAAGACTCAAATCCCATACGTCTTTCATGGAACCAAATTGTCTTCTTTACTTTCCCTTTCCCCTTTCCTTGTCTTCGTTGGCCTTCTTCCTCTTCTTTTTCAATCAATATGGTCAAACCAAATCACCTTCCCCCTTTCTCATCTTCGTCAGCCTTCTCCTCCTCTTCTCCAAATGATCCAGTTGAGCCAAACCATCTTCCCTCTTTCTCGTATTCGTCAGTCTTCTCCTTCCTCCTCTTCTCCAATCAATCAAATTGAACCAAACCCCTTTCTCATCTTTATCAGCCTTCTCCTTCCTCCTCTTCTTCGATCGATCCCATCAATCCAAACCCCCGTTCCCCTTCGTCGCCTTCTCTTTTCTCCTTGTCTGTAGATCAGATCTTCCATCTTGATGAGGCCATTGAGCCTAGAATCCTGTTTGATGTTGAGGCGGTGGAGCCATTGTCTCCGATCCAAGAGGTTGCCATTAAGAGTGGGTGCTTCTTCTGTGGTGAGGGTGAATGAAAAGAACAGTGTAGAGAGAGAATGGTGGTGAGAAAGACTTTTGGGAGGGAACAAACACTCATAGCACAGACCAGAAGTTGACCATGGTTCAAGAATTTCTAGTAAATTTTCATACCCACCTCTCTGATGCCATCGTCACCTATTCGATACCATCGCTCTTCAGCCATCACCATTCACAATCAAACACGCCTTTCTCTATTCTTCGTGAAATCTAAGCCCTAAATTCCACTGTGCATGTCTGATTTTTATGTGTTTATAGAGTTCTGCGTATTCTTTGGTTGGAATGTTATTGTGTTGTGGATTTGGGACTTTTACTGTAGGATTTTTTATATTGAATTATTCTAATTACTGAATTGTTGAAGTGAACCTTTAATAATTGTTGTTTTTAAAATTATCGGCAACCATAAGGGAGATATGCTAGAATCCACGAGAGCTGGAGGGGTTTATCAAAATTTGAGAGTTAGGGGGTTGTGGTGGCGCTGAAATCTAAGAGTTGGAAGATTTGGGTTGGTGTTCATATGTGTGAGTGTGGGTTTCAGAGTTGAAAAAATTGAATTTTAATTAAAAAAAAGAGGTGAATGCCATGTGGTAAGCCAACTTAAAAAAGTTTAAGTCAACTAACGGTCAACAACTTCTTACCATTAGGTGAAGGCAATATTGCACTAATTTAAAAAATATTAATGTGAAATTGTATTGAAAAATACTTTAAAATATAGAATACTCTTGATTAGAAACATTAAAAGCAGATTTATACTTTAATCCTAAATATTTCAATGTGCTTTCTTTATGTTTTGTTGTTGTGTTTCAATAGTGTTTCCCCAATTTATTGAATGTTAATCCTGGCCACTCTCCGTGTAATATAGACTTCGAAGAAAAAATGATTTGTCCCCTCAGCTGCGTGACGCCATTCTGCACATTTCAATGTGAGATATATACATACATGTGGACATACTTGAATAGTTGGATCTCCCATGTTTTGCCTATATCAGCTACTTCCTCTAATCCTTGGAAGTTTGAATTTTTTTTATCTTAAATATAATATGAAATTAGAGTAATTGATGTTTTTTAATCAGTTTTTCCCTTTATTTATTTATTGTCATTTGAATTATTAAACAACAATTTATACTACTACCATTAATTATAAAGGAGGGTAAACTTTAAAAGTTTTATTTTTTTTTCAATTTTAAAGTTATAACTAACATTTTTTATACTCTTTTCAAACCATAATATAAGTCATAATTAATTAATTTACAGTTTATGAATAATATTAGTTAAAATCTTAAATTCTAAAAATGTCAACATTTTTTAAATTTATACCCTCATTAAATACTTTATATAAGAGTTTTGATAATAGTAATTAAAACTTTAATGTATAATTTTTTAAAAAGAATAATAAATGAAGTAAGAGCGTAGTTTTAGAAAGACAAATATAAAAATTATCCAATACCTTTTATTTGGATCAAGTAAGGTTTTTAAAAAATGTCTTTTATTAACTTAGAAGTAAGTATAAAGTTTGTTCAACTTCATCTTACATATTAAGGACGTCCTTACTTCTTTTTTTTTTTTTTTTTGTGGGTGAAATACGTCCTTAATTTATTACTATGCGCAACTCGTGTTGGTCTCTCACAAACACATTGGTTAAACAATATATTAGGTGCTCTCTCAATCTCAAGTACAGTATTAATTGAACGGGATCCCGCGACAAAGTTGTGTGCGTGTGCGTGCGTGTGTGTGTAACACATTAATTCTAAGTCTTGATTTTTTTAAAAAAAACTATATATTTGTTGTTGATTCGAATGTCACATTATGCTTAATTAATTAGTTATGTTATTTATTTTTCTGTTACATTTTTATAAAACATAATCATAGGCACTTAATCAAATATACAATCTATAATTCTATATCATTATTTCAGAATTGTATCCAAATTAAAATAAAATTAAAATAACCTTGAATTACTGTGCAATTTTGTAAAAATTTCTTTATATCCGTAAATAGTTAAATACTGTCTCGATTAAATTTAAAAAGTATTTTATTATATAATAAAATTACAGTACACACTGTAAGATTAATTTTAATTTATGTTAGTTTCATTTTAACATTTCAACATTAACACTAATCTCGATTGATTGTGCTTGTGTGCCATTAAAAAGTCAATCAAAAAAAATTAATAAAAGGAAAAAAAGTTAAAATGAGCCGTCTGGCATGGTATAGTTAAGTTTGCCTTGTAATTAGAAAAATATTAACTACTTTAACTCTACTTTTTATTAAAAAAAAAGTTTTAAAAATTTGCCGAGGGAGTATATATGGAATCTTGTGAAAAATACTTCTTCCTTTCCCAACCAGTATTCGTGGAGAAACCGAGTTGTTGATATTAGTAATTGCGTCAAATTTTACGCACATGCCAACTAGACACGAACATGTTCCACTCCATGTCTTCTTTCACTTTTTGCAATTAATTGACGTTGAAGTCAGAAAATTGGTAGGAGGTGTGATTCATTAGGCTGGATGGCATTTAAAGAGAGGGTTGGTAAGGTAAGGGTATGCAATTAATCCGATGCCAAACGCTCTTAATTTTCCTTTCCTCTTTTTTTGGGACATGAGCAAAACTTTTCTCTTTTGATCAACCCTTTGAACTCCATTGTCCCCAGTCTATTCCACTTCTCTTCACACCAACGAACCCATCCTATAGTCTCCCCTCTCTCACCGCCACTTTTCGTTTCAATTTTTGTTTTCCAAGTCTCTTGCACAATAAAAGACAATTCAATTTAAATTTTCAACACTAGCACACAAAATTGATTAAAATAAAGACATTTAAGAATTTTTATATATGAAATCCAATGGTGCGCTTCATTTATATAGCTAAAATTAGTAATACTTTATAAAATTTGTAAAAGAAACTATTACTTTTTATTTATTTTTTTTATATAAGCATAGTCACATATTTTAATGAATATTTATTATACATTTTTTAAATTGCTCTTCATAATTTACATTAACGAAAAATAATTAATGCCTGTTTATATTGATGAACATAGAGTATTTTAGTTCAATTTTTTTTATTTTCAAATATAATTATTATGGTTAATCGGCTTTCTTAAACTGTGTAATATAATTTTTTTTTCTTATATATAGAAACAAAGGAAGTATCATTTAATTTCTATAATTTACTCACTATACAATGTTTGGCACATATGAAAGTACTATTAGGTTGTTTAAACGTTAGTTGACTTGAATTGATGTGAAAGGTCATATATCAAGTAAAGTTAAATTTAATAATTAATTTATATAATAAAAACAAAGAAATCAATAAACTTGAGCTTTATGATTTTGACAATTGCTCATTTATCCTCTCCATTCTATTTTCCAGGTGGCTTCTCTCCATTTTCAACAAGTGACTAGTGTTTGCACCCTCTTTTTGAGCTTGTAGACTCACATTTAAAAGATATTGTTAGGTTATTTAACTGTGAATAGAATTGAAGAGAATGACATATAAACTTGAGCATTAGAGTTTTGAGTTAATATGTGATATCTTTCTACTATTTTTGTTTATTTGTCCTCTCTCCCATTTCTGCCTTTTGAGCGTATCCTTTTATGAGAAAAAAATTACAAACTCCTAGTACTTATTAATTATCTGATTCAAACAAAAGTCATGCAGTAAAGAACTAATCAATTGAGCTAACACAAATACCTTTTCCCTCAAAATAGAAACGTTTAAGTAAACTGTATGTGCGCATCCAAGTAAGCCAAAACAAGGTTCGGAATGCCACATTAATTAATTTCATCGGTGGAGAAACCTATTCTATACGTCCGAACGACCAAAAGCATTTGAAGGTGGAACCAATAAAGTTCACTGGTCAGTAAAAATTTCAACCACAATTTATAAATTTGTGAATTTAAATCCTATTATTGATGACAATTTCATCAGTTGTTGATTTATAAATATTTTTATAAACACTCTTCAAATTTAAAAACATATTTTAATTTTAATGAGTTTTTGAAATCTAACTTATCTAACTTTTTATAATAAAAAAGTTTTTCACAAATTAACAACAAACTATTTTAATAATAATGCCATCTTCTATTTTAAAAGAAATCCCAAATTCAAACCTCTGACATATTTACGTCACGTCAGTAATCAGAAAAATGTGGATAACTTTTCACCAGAGTAAAATATTTGAGGGAAGCATATTGAAATATTATATTTTTTGAAGAACAGAATATAAAAAGAGCAAATTAAGAGTGAGCCATCAATTTACTCTTATAATGCGAAGTTATCAATGCTTCTGCAACAAAGACGAAACGGCAAACAAGTTTCAGGGGGCATAATTAGGACACAGAACAGACTACAGAGGAAGAAAAAATAGAAGTAGAAAAGCAGCGAACAGTATATTGGCAACACTAGTAAAACACCATACCTACTTAATTACAGGAAAACCATAACCTTTTCAGATTGTTCTCGAGTGAAATTTCTCGAAGATGTACTCTCAAGCTCTCAAAGTAACAAACGTAAAAAACAACAGTGCTCACAGGTCCGAGCTTCAATTTTGTATACCACTCGGCACTAGCTAAACACCATATTTACGTAATTACAGGAAAACCACAAGATTTTAAGATTATTATCAAGTTAAGTTTCTTGAAAATGCATCCAATCATAAAGAAACAACCCAAGAGTACAAACAAGCTTGCTCACAGCTCACGAGTCAGCGTTTAGCCAGCCAGAAAATTAATTAGTCCGACAAGTAACGGGTCATCCAGGATTGGAAGCGTGACCAAGCCAGCTGGACCGCAGCTTCATCTTCATCAGGTAATCCCATGCTCTTCCTCCTCTTAATTCCTTCAGGAGACCTGTTCATGAATGCATGTGCATTTTCCGGATACATGTGTACCTCATAAGGCACTCCAGATGCCTTCAGCTTCTCCTCCAAGGTCTTCGCAGCCTAAGTCATCAAATGATGTTAAAAGACGGCGGAAGTAGATAAGAACTTTTGTGCATATCATCCTCAGTCAAAAAATTTCACATCGGTCAAATTCTCATGGTTGATCCAATGGATTTATAAACTACAATAATCCTAACTAGCATTATGCTATTGCTTGAATTATATAGGTTTCTAATTCTAGAATATCAACAGGTGCTCTTTCTTCCATTCCCCATATATTTGAGCAAAACGATGGAGCTCTAGTAGTAACTAATAGCAATGATGGAAAGCGCTTAAAAAATATACTTGACAAAGTCAAAGGGAATTATATAGAAAATGAGAAACCACGGGCAGTTATCAAATTCCAAACACTACAACTCAGGATCAATAAAACAGAGAATAAAAATGGAAAATTTAAAATCTAGCATTCACAAGCAACAAAGGAGCAATTGAAAGGTCAAAGTTGAAACTTCACAATGCACGTTATGAGGTATAGTTCTCGGTTCGTGAGGTGAGGTCTACTTTGAAAGTTTGCGCCATACTTCAAGACTGACTTGAAACTGTTGAAGATGAGCTAGAAAAGGTGAGCAGGGAGTTCTTATGGGGGAACATGAAGGAGAAAAGAAGTTACACTTATTGGCTTGGGACACAATACAAAGAGATAAATCTATCGGTGGTTTGGGCCTAAACAACCTGAAGAGTCCAAATATTGCTTTTCTTTGGAAGCTATGTTGGAAGTTGGTGACAGATGAAAAAGCGTTGTGGGCGAGAGTTTTGAAAGCCAAATATAAACAAGGCGAAAAAGATATTCCAGAAGTGAAAACGATGGTTGGGGCTTCTTTTACTTGGAGGAGTATTACAAAGGTTTGGGAATCATTCCAAGAGGGTCTAGGAAGAAAGTTGGAATCAGGTCGTTAAACTTCGTTTTGGTTTGAAAGATGATCACCAGCAAATAAACCCTGGATTGATTCTGTTGAACAGGGCAAGAATTTATTGACATTAAGGAGAGGGTGACTGATTATATTCTTCTGTCTGGTGAGTGGGATGTGTATAAGATAAGATCTTGGTTTAGGGACCATGTGGTGGACCTGATAACCAGCTTACGAGTGCCTTGTGAGGAGAGTGGAGAGGAAACAAATTTGGCTCTATTCTGCTTATGGTATTTATTCTGTAAAATCTGGTTATTCTGTTATCTTTGCAAGTAATGCTGGATCGAGGAACCCAAGATGGAGGCATATATGACGGTGGCAGGTCCTAGAAAAAAATGAAATCCTTCGTTTGGCTTATGGCAAATGACAGGATCCACACCACATCACTCGGACTAAGAAGAGGGCTGCAGGTTGAGAGCTCTTGCCCATTTGGATGTTCGGAGACAAAGGACACCATGCATCTGATACGGATTGCAAACATGCCAACCCATGGCGGAGAGAGTTCATGAACGCAGCATTTTGGGAGAAAATCCAAAGCTTGGATAGAAATGAGTGGATCGAGTGGAACTTGAAGAACAACGTTGGGGAACCATCACGCAAAGGGTACCTTGGATCACACTTTTTGCTTGCATCTGTTGAAATATTTGGAGAAGCAGGTATAAAAAGGTCTTTCAAGAAGAGGAGGAATTAATTCGAGAAGAACCCACTGATTCTTTCTTCAAGGCTATGAATGATATGGCTTTAAGGAAACAAATGCTTGGAGGAAAAATATGGGGTAATCGTAATAATATTCCCCAAAATAGTGGGAGTGCTCTTGTCTTGGAGACTGATGGTTCCACACTTCCTACTGGTGATGGCTCGTGCGGAGGGGTTTTGAAGGATACAGAGGGAAACTGGATACAGGGGTTCAGTTGCAAGTTGAGGAAAATGCCCCCTGTTATTTCTCAAATTCAAGGCATTTATAAAGGCCTTGAAAGCTTGAACTCTGTTGGTTACATGGAGCTAAGACTGTGAATGTCTTTTGTGATTGTGCGAATGCTATATTGATGATCACAAAGGAAAACCATGGTTATCACCATTACAGTGATATTATTGAAGCTACTAGGAAGTTGGTCAGTAGGAATTGGGAAGTTAGATTTTATTTCTTTTACAGAGAGGAAAACTAGTCGGCTGACTCCTTGGCCAAGTCAGCTTATACCCCTGCAAACAATCTTATCTTGTTCTCCCAGCCTCCCATCACGTGAGTGTAGGGGTTGGGTTTTGCTTTATTCGTTCTTGTTTAGCTTGTAGTTTGCTCTGTCTGTAATTTCTGTACTGCCATGCTTTGTATTATTTTCTAAACGAAATTGTTACTTGTATTGTTCCAAAAAAAAAAAAAAACACCGAAGATGGAATGCAGAAAGTGGCGCCACTTCCTTTTCAACCAGTCACCCTTAACTTAGGATGACAGTATTTGCAAACATTATAATATAAATGGTGGTTATTCCTATGAACTTTAGGATTTACAGTATAGTTTTCCCTTTTTCCTAAATACTTGACTTCTTGGGGCAAGTGGGATGGGAAGAAGATCGTTAAACTTGCTCAAGCCCTTCACTGATGCTACACATTTAAAGAGACGTTTGGTGTTATTTTTGGTTCATTAACATTTTCGCGGACTTTATGCTGTAATTCCCCTTGTTATTTCAGAAACTCTGCTATATCATGTTTTGGATCTACAATATGTTTTATTTTTGTGCTTTTTAAAAGTTTGAATAAGCCCTTCCAATTATGGGGACAGGTTATTCTAGTTTGTAATTCGGGTAATTATATTTCTTTAGAGGTAGGATCTCCCAATTCTTGATCCGACCCTATAAATAAATCTTTTTAGCTCTTTAATCAGTTAAAATACCAATCTTCACAGCCTTAACTCCTAAGTCATTAAACCCGCATATTTATTAAGCAAGCATGCAATGACTTTCAGTTCTCATATTCAACAACCCAACCCTTCGTTTCCCCATCAAGCACACCCTAAGTGTGGGAGAGAGAGAGCCCCTCTTTAGTACTCACCAATAAACAATTTAATACAAGCTCTAGAAGCTAGGCAACTCCCCTGCCCCCAGAACCTGATGTCATATCAGGTTGAACTACCCAGTTAGATATGAACAAGTAGATAATAATGATCAGCAATATTTCTATTGACATTGCAAAAATTAATCAATACCGTAACATCTGAAAAGCCAACTATGTTATCTAGCTCTCCAAAGTGGGCCTGAACTGGAGCCTTGGCTTGACTAGGGTCTGCAAGCTCTGAAGAAGGAACTCCATAGAAAGCTACAACAGCGTCAACTTCTGGAGTCAATACAGAACTTGCAATGGAGAGTGCACCCCCCATGCAAAATCCAGTCACGCCAGCCTGTTGCAACAAGCCACATTTTGTTTAAGGGAAAAAAAAAATCAACTTTATGATACTCAAATTCCCCAAATAAAAAAAGAAAGAGACATGGCTCCAAAGACCACACGTGTTTGTTAGTTGATCACCTGAATTATATATGTAAATGTAAGAACAAAGCACGTTTAGGAATAACCAGCAAATAAGCTGCATCCAACAAAACAATATTGCAATTTGCAAGTAAAATACAATTTAAGCTATTTTCCACGGCCTGCATCAACTACTATATAGTGCCTGACATCTTAAGAAAGTCTCCAACTAATTTGCCTTAAACCTAAGACTAGTTTTTGGGCTGATGAACAAAAAGAAACTTCTGCTACTACTGCAGGACAGTAGCACAATGAAGTCTTCAGAATGGATAACCATAACAGAAAGCTTAATATGACATCATAGCATCACTAATCTGATCAAAGCATAACTGGAGCAAACCTTCTTTGACCCATGTGCTTTAAGCCAGTTAACTGAAGCACGGATATCCTTTACAGCACCTTGCCAATCAAGACCATCCATCAAATGCTGTGCTTCTGCTGCATCAAGACCAACCTTTCCTCTATAGAGACTGGAAAAGAAGGCAAAGCCATTAGCCATTTAGATACTGAAAATGATATTCTATAATAAGTAAATGACAATGATCTAGATATCTTTAGGAATCACCAATATCTTACTCTGGGATAAGAGCTTTAAATCCAGAACCAAGTTGAGAAATCTTCACAGCATGATTCTTGATTTCAAAATCCACACCCCACCACTCCTGAAGCACAACAATTCCAGGAGCATCTTCTTTGCCAACAACATATGCATCAAATGTCTGGTCATTCAAAGAAATTGAATAATTAAATTCAAAATGAAGTTCCACGAGCGGTAGAAAACATGAAAAATGAAGATGGCTTATTGCATAGGAAAATCATGTTTCAAACCATAAAATGGGATATTTTATTAAAATGACTTCGGTTTGAAAAACAAAATTTGTTTCCACGGACTATACTAAAGATAGAATACCGTAAGCTTTTGGGAGTGATGGTCAGTAGAATAACATGAAACAATCGCTTTGTTACAAGTTGTTAGGAAGCCACTATTAGTATGTCTGGCAGTTAGTAAGCAGTAAGCACGATCTATGCTAGCAAAGGAGGATGGCGTGGCCTTCTGAATAGGTTTAGAAGGTGACACCACGTGGCTCAGTCTCGCTAAAACAGCTACCAAGAACAATCATAATCGCAACCAAGTGATCGAAAAAAATTTAAAACGCTTTTTGTAACAGAGGCTCGTTCGCTTTGCAGAAAATATTTTCCGAACGGAAAAGCACTGTAGCATTAAAAGCCCAGAGGACAGTGTCACACTCGTTAACATTTCTTTTAATAAAGATTCTCCAAGAGCAACTCAAGTGGGGAAAACAGCTGAAATCGCCGGTAAAGCTCAGATAGAAGATTGTAGCTTCGTTAAAAATGGAAGGATTACGCTATATAGATAGGGTAATCAATAAGCCAAAACCAGGAAAAATGAGATGATCGTACGAGTGCATGACAGACTTTGCAAATCAGCATCGAGAGTAATTGGAATCAGCAATAATGCAAATATATTATAAGAATGCAGGAAAGAGGCACACTTACAGTGTCGTCCCTTTGAATCTGGATTTTCTTGAAAGGAGATGAAGCAGCGCCAGCCATCAAACGGAGTGACAAGCGAGAGAACTGTGGGGGGTTGACAATAGAGGAGTCTGCCCGCAGCAAGTGGGTGATGAGGGAACATCTGCAGTGTTTATACGAAAATTAATCCATTGGTCATCATAATTTTATTTAATTTTGACTTGGGTGAATCTAATTTATTTTATTTTAATTAAATTCTTGCAAGTTAGTCAATTAAATATGTTAATTTAAAAACTAAAATTTTTAACTTTTTTCTTTTTAAAAAATGAAATTAAGAACTGTTATATTCTCATTAAAAGATTATATAACTTTAAAATTAATTATAATTTTTTATAGGCAAAAGTACGCATTTCATACTTTAATTTTAAACAACGTTTCATTTTAATATTTTAATTTTATAAAATATTTTTTAAAATTTTAATTTTAATATTATTAGTTTTATCTTAATAAATTTTTATATTAAACTTTTAAATATTGATAAAATATTCTTAAATATTGACATATTAAGTTTAATTTTTTAAAATGACAATGATAATATAAAAAATAAATATTTAAAACTAATAATGTTAAGGTTAAATGACTAAAAAAATACTTCACAAAATTAAAAGATTAAATTAATTAAAACTTTTTATAAAATTAAAGGAATACAAGTATACTTTAGGTCATTTTTATAAGTTAATGTCTATATAATTAAATTACATATTTTAAATAATATTTATACATATAAAATTTTCATAATAAAAATTAATAAAAATCCAAAAAAATATTTTAAATAATATTTTTTTCAAAAATATTAAATCAAATTTTTTATAAATTTAAAAAATGAATTGTTTTAAAAAATTTAATGTTTATTAACAGAAGGCAATTTTGTTACAAATATAACATAAGACATTGATGGAAAAGCCAGAGAAGCAACAGCAAAAGAGTAAGGAAAAGCAAAGCTTTTGGATTGATTTCTCTTCTAATTTCCAGGGATTAATATATTTAATCTTCAAACTATAAAGACTTAATTAAAATAAAATATTTATGAGAATTTAATTTAAAATTAAACAAAACTATAGGGATTGGTAAATTAATCTTCCCTCTTTTATATTAATTTATGAAGTACATTAGCCTGAATTTAATAGGGAAATTTCAAAGTGGGTTCATACACCTGCATAGTCAATAATTCAATTCAAATATCATCCATTTGTTGTCCATAAATCAAGAATAATAGGGAAATCCAATGCAAACTTGAGGTAATTTTTTCTCTCCATATTTTAGTTCTGTGGATCCCATATATTTTTTTAAATTTTTGAAATGATTTGAAAACAATAATCAAATATTATAAAATAAATATAATCTTACAAAATATTTTACGTTATTATCCATTTTAATATCATTATAAAATGTAACATTTATAAGAAATTTCATTATTGAGTGAGTAAGCATAACCTTGTAGAAACTTTTAGGTTAATATCTACCCCGTACATCCTCCAGGAATTAGCTCTCAAGTCCCCTTCATACTGATATTGATTTATTTATAATAATATGAAAATTTAAGCTGCTCAATCCTAATCACAACATTAATAAAAATATAGGCTAACTCATTATCTTAATAATTGACCAAAAAAGCTCAATATGTTAATCGAAAAGAGAAAAATAATTGATTAATGGATTGGATATAGTAAAAAGAGTTAACCTCTTATAATACAATGTATCAAAGTTTAAATTCCTTTTAAAAAAGATGTCCACATTTATTTACCAATCATATCTCAAACATGATTATCTTTATTAAAAAAAAAACCCTTGTCCCTCGTTAAAAACAGAGAGAGAAAAAGATCAAGATGTTAACCAAGAAAAATCCCTTGTTAGGTGTAAATGATTATAATAAATTAATTTGTCTGAGATGAATAAACAAAAATAAGATAATACTTAAAAAAGGGGTTCCACTGGACTAAATTACATTTGTGAACTTCCGATGCGAAGACCGTTTCACATTGAGGCCGAAGTCAGTCGAAATTCTGACATTTCATCAAAGGAATTAACCTTGACTGCCTCCATTACGTAGTGCTGTTTTAAACTGTACTATCTCTTCTGAAGAAGCTACATGGAAGAGGAAGAAGACTTGCAAAAAATTTCATCCTTACAGGTTACAGCCCTCAAAGGCTCCTCAAAATTACCAACTCGATATCCAACCGTCTGTCTATTCTTTAATCTTTATATAACACAAATACCAGAAAAGTGGAAGGGTGAAGGCCTGCGCTACAAATTGAAAAATGAATCGTAACACATGTAAACAACAACTTAGCATCAATCTGGAAAATAATGTACGTCAGCATCACTTGGGAGGAAACGAAAGCTCGCTCTCAAGCATAAACGAAAGATCATGCATTTGAGACAACAGCATCTCTACATCATCAATATTTGACCCTAAGTTTGCACTGGAAACATCTCCCGAGTTTCCTCCTGTTGCATCCACAGACGCCACCCTGAACATGCAACTTACGGTGTTGAGTCTATGAGATACGTTTCTTTGTTTAAAAAGAGAAATGTCAACCATAAAACATGGATCAATAAGTTACTTTGAATCGTCGATTAAAAACCACATATCAACCATTGCATCAATATTGATTTCCAGAAAATAGCATATTTCTACTTTGGGGAAACGCACACGCAATTACTCGCAACAGATGCCCTTTGCCCACCCTTAATTTAATCATTAATCGGCTACATCTCTAAATGCATGAATTTCATTTCAGCACTTCCTCCGAAGTTTCAAGAATTTCATTATTGTAAACTAAATGACTGTATTAGTAAACGCAATCTCTTGAAGGTGTAAAAAAACAAAACAAATGATGCAGCCAACAGAACATCAACCCACCTGCCAGAGAAAGCCCCAGTCTGAACGTTTGCTCCAGCAGAACTCAATGGATTGCTAAATTGTTCTGAAAATAAATCATGTTTGAACCCGCCAAAATTAATACCATTTGAATTGCCTGATAAGCTGAATATATCTATTTCAGATCTCTGCGGAGAAGATGCCAGATTTACAGTTTGTTTGCAAACATAACTGGAAGGATCTTGTGCAGTGGCTGAGCTAGTAAAGCCATTCCAATCATCAAAGGAATCGGCAACTTCTTCGGTAGTCACAGCGTCAGTTGTCTTGCTATAACTCCCTTGCCACAAGTCATCTGCCATCCAGTCAAAATTATTATCGCTCTCCACAACTTTTCCATCATTAAGATCAGTAGTAATTTCAGATCTCTCAGTCTGGCTAGCTACCACTGAGTTGGGAAAACTGCTGGAAAGGTCTTGTGTGCCAGCAGAGCCTATAAAGTCATCCCAAGCATTAATTGAATCAGTAACTTCATCAGTAGGGACAGTGTTTGCGGTCTTGTCATTGCTTCCTGGCCAAAGGTCATCTTGCATCCAATCAAAATTCTTCGTAGATGAACTATGATTACCCTCTGCTGTTTTTGTATCATTAAGATCAGCAGTCACTTTAGCGTCCCAAGTCTGGCTAGTTATCTTTGAGTTTGAAACACTACTGGAGGGATCTTGAGTGATGGCCGAGCCAGTAAAGTCATCCCAAGCATCCAATGAATCAGCAGCTTCGTCAGTAATCACATTATCAGTTGTCTTGTTTTGGTTTTCTTGCCCTTGGTCATCTTGCATCCAGTCTAAATTTCCAGCAGAACTGCGAGCACTCTCTGCCATTTTTGCATAATTTAGATCAAACGTTACTTCAGGTTTCCTAGTCTGCCTGGTTAGCTCGGAAGTTCTTTGTATACCACCCTGAAACCAATCATTGTCCTTAGATGCTGAAGGGTTCAAGCTGTCATTCTTCTTTACACCCAGAGAAGCATTCCCATATCCAAATACCTCATCCAGATCAACATTAGAATGATCAAATGATTTGGCCTCTTTATCAACTGCCTCAGAACCTGCAGCCTGGAAGTCTGCCTCCCAACCAGAAAAGGAATTGCCACTCTGACCTTCTGAAGGCCCCGTGGTTGTTTCTGGAATCAGGTCATTCTGAAACAAACTAAGATTTTCATTAGTTTGGAGAGGCTTAACTTCAGCGCTATCCACTAGCTTTTTCGAAGCCAACTGATCTTCAAATGCATCAGAAGCAGATTTCCTCCGAGCAAAAAAACTATCAAGGTCAACTGCAGCCAAATTTAATGAACCTTTGCTCTGGAATGCTGCCTCATCTGAGTTACCGGTTTGAGGTCCATCTGACTCAGAAGGCCGCATAATTTCCAAATCTAACAGTTCAGATAAGGGAATCTCTTCTTTTGATGCACTCCTCTCTCTGGTTGAGTCATTTCCTTTATTAACTGGTTCCACCATCTCCTGCAACAAAACGTATCAAGTAAACGTAGCAGTTTTTATAATCAAGCATGATCAGAATTAAGAAGCAGGACAATACCTACAGATGTTAAAAATGTAGTTCTCTCACTAAAGAAGGAAACATTTATCATATATCAAAATTCCAACCATCACCAGCATTAACGAAAGAAGTTAACAATAGTTTGGACAGCAGAATTGAATTCAGAATAAAGCTTACCAAATAAGAAACAAGGGGGAAAATCATGCTAGGAAAAAAAATATATATATATAAATTGAGTTTACCGATCCATCTAGTTGAAGGGAGTCTAGTAAGAAGCGATATCCAACAGTGTCTTTGAACTTCACAGGGTCAGGAGGCAAATCCTTATGGGGATTTGTGCCACAGAAAACGCAGATAGCTGACTGCACCCCGCGGAGGAGTTTGCCCTTGCAGTGCTTGCAGCGAAGGTAGGGAGGCGAGGGATCGAGCCCTGCTATTGTCTCTGCAACTGAAGGTAGCTTAGGAAGCGTAAAAGGGTCCTCTTTCTCGGGTTCGTACCAAGATAGATTGACCTCTTTACGGAGCAACAATTTTAACTCTTTTATCTGATCTAGTGGAATCTCAAACGCCATTGTCCAGGATTGGATTTCGATTTTGCTCTCGTTCGTTCTCTCTCACACTAATGAACAAGCAATTAGATTCACTTGTCGGCATATCACCGCAGAACCCAGAGGAAAATCCATGAAACTATCTCAAACGACACCGGCCAGATCAAAGGGAAAGGCAGTCTGCAAACGGCAAGAAAGATCGCTGCGTTTTCGCTTGGGAAAACGTTGATTCACACACAAATTCATATATAATCTTAGCTTTGATTTTAAAATTTTTAAAAGTAATTATTGAAAATTTTTAATTGATATAATCAACAAATATGTAATATAACATCTATAGACAATTTGTGTTGTAAAAATCATATTTCAAATTTTATGCAATACATATGAGACATGGAGTGCATTTAGTTTATATTTTGTCTTTTTCATTTGATAAATATATTTTAAATTCACTTCATTTTATTCTTTTTAATTAAAAAATTTTCCTATCCTCTCAATCTCAGGAGTAAGACTCCTTTTTTTTCTGTTACTTTTTATTTTGCTAACTTTTTGGTCTGTACTTGCTTTTGTATAAAAAGGTCATAAAAATTTCTAATAATTCATATAGAGAAAGGAAAATTTTGCATTCCCACTTTATGAATAGGATAGCTTCTTTAAACATTTTGTGGCAGTGTGTTGTGTTGTAACATTCTACTACTCATAAAACTACCAACAAAATTTGGGTGCTGATATGATGTATGGATACTTAAAAAAATAAACATATCTGCATTTAATACATATTTGATATAATATTTATAGGATATTTCAATATATCTACTACATATTCTAACATTTGTATTATAATCTTTTTGTATTACTTAAAAACTAAAAAAAAAACGTACTATTTTGACTGATTAATACAAATATCCTCATATTATCTTAAAATTCTTATTTAAAAATTAAATTATTTACACCTATATCATAAATGTTGAAATATATATGATAAATATTTCCATACCAATATTCTAAAATTTTGAAAATTATCACATTCATCATATTAAGTTATATCTTATCCTACACACGTACACTTATCAAAGCTTTTTATGATGATAGAAAAAGAAGATTTCTCTACAAGGCAACTATAATATATTGTCCAAGTGAAGTGAAAGTCTTGAAGTAGGAGGGATGAAATTATGAAAATATCTTTCTTATGTTAACATGAACCTACTCTAATAATTTGTTACCTCACGATTTATCATGCTACAGCAAACTTTAAACTTGAATAATATATATAGTTTCTTTTAGTGAAAAACATGAATAATATATTTAATTCCTCCACCACTTGTTAAGGCTGCTAAAATTTTTCATTTGCCTATACGCCACAGTTATAATATCTCTCTTACTAAATATAATTAACATTTCAAATCTAAGGTAATCAAGAAAATGACCCAAATAAGATTATCAAGTTTGTATTTTATAGAAATGGGATCATAAGTTTTCATAATTTAAAACAAGTCAAAATAACTAGTAAACTTTTAATCAAAGTACAATAATGTTTTGAAAGTATGAGATACCTCAAAGAAGTAAAATGATACAAAAATAGTTGAAAAACATCAAGTTCTAAAAAATAGAGCAGTGCACTGCGGCATGTGCACATGTGCCGCGATGGCTTCTTTTCTATGCCACTTGCTACGACGTGTTGCAATTATCAGACAACATCTCTGTTATCATTTGATAGTAAATCTGGGCAACTTTTAATATGCCTCATTTCTCCATCCGACATTTGAATGAGATAATTCAGGCGTTTACAAAAAGCTCTTTTCACAAATTAGCTAATAACATGAGTTTTATTTTCAAATTAAGTCATAAACACATTTTCAACTATATTCGCAAATTTCACATCTCAAAGGTGTCCAAAATCAAATGACATTCCTAACACTCAGATCATAAATCAATAAATTTAGGACTATTTGTATAGCACACCATATGCACATATACATCACAAGTTTTTACTCCTCAACCTACCAAAAACAGAATGGGTTTTTTTATTTTTTAGCATTGCAACTTTACCATTAACGTTCACACTTGAAATCAAAGCAATAACCCTATACTTGCATTAGTTTTTTAACCCTATAAAATACTTGAATAACTTGCAAATGACAACCCAGTGCCCAAAATACACTCCTAAAAATTATCAACATCAAAAGTGTAAGTATATGCAAAATGTAACCTAATTGACAATAAACTTGTTCATTACACAGTATAAATGAAGTAAGGAAGCATTTACAATAGAAATACTCAAATTACTAAACCTTTAGAGCCTTTTTCCTTTTCACACTGAAGTTAGAGCCTGTAAAATATTGAAACAAATCAGTGAATCTAGCCACTCAATAACCAAGGTGCATCTACCATATGCAATTATATATTAATTGAAATAAACACACATAAATATGAGTTGGCTATTCAAAGGCATCAATTATATATGATATAAGTTATATTTTCACAATCGATATATATAATCGTCTTCCTCATCTCAAGTGTAATAGTACATTGCCACAAGACACACAGACATGTGCCAATAACTTAACTCATCATCTCAATATACTTTGCCACTATAATGGCACAATCTTTATCATGACTTCCCACAAACTTAACAACTATGCGACACGTTGGATAAATATATATGCATGATTAAACCATCCTTATACCCTCCTTATATCTTTTAATTAAAACTGTGGGCTATAACATCAAACAGAGCTCAGTCCGTGTAACTGGACTGCCCAAGCTCATAAAATTATAAAGTGTAACTTGGTCAAAGATCACAACACTAGCTCTCAAACACGACTTCCCCCACTCTCAAATCTCTAGGATGTTGTACACCCTAAACTAACCTCCTTAACAAACTAGTGAAGATAGTTAGGTTTTAGTCTCTCGACAAACTATATGGCAATCCCTTAATAAATAGTGGGATAAGACTATACCTTTATGCACCAGAAGGCAGTCATATATACCATATAGATTTTATCTATTCCTTTCCCTAAGTAAACTCTTGCCACTGATCATGTAATATACAATGCTCACTCATTTCACAATTTCATTATTTCAATGCGAACACGTTAGGTTTATGATAATATGCTATCTAAGTGGGCATCAATATTATTTTCATAACCTTATCCACTTCTACTCTCAATTTTACACCCAATTCAAAATCTCATTTAACCTCACACGTCATAACCACATATTGATACTACCATATCATCATCATATCATGTATCTCACATTATAAATTTCTCATTTCAATGCAATATTATAGTTTGAAATTCATTTCAAATTCACCTTTGCATTTCAGTTTAAACCAAAGCGTATACACAATCACATGCTTTATAACATGTTTACACATTCACAATCACAAATATACATACAAATAAACATATTTCACCTTACAATACAATTAAGATATGGTTTCTCCAATTACCTCAAACCTTTAAGGGATTAAAGGCTTATTCTTCAATATATGCTTCCAAGCTTACCTTTCTAAGCTAAATACAGTGCTTAGATGATTAATCTATAATTAATCAAGTCTGAATTCATTAATATTGTTAAAAGCATGCTTCGACTCTAATCCTCCAATTTTCAAAACACGTAAAATTCTCATTTGTCACCATTGAGCTTACCCATTAAGTATTTTAACTCCTATCACTTCAAACTAACAATCATTTCACTTATATAGGGTCATTAATGTCACAACAAACCTCCTACTCCACATTTATCACCTATTTTTTGAGCATTAATCAAGCCCACCCATTAAAAACATATAAACTCTTAAATCTCTTATTTAAATACCTTAAATAACTCTTATTAGCTCTATTTAAGTTAATGGATTCAAACCCTTAACCTATATAGATTGAAAATCAATTTCCATTATCAAACCCTAACAGAAGTTTTAAGAAATTTGGTTGAGAAGGAAGAAGAACAAGTTAAGGGACTCATCTTGGGGTTTAGTGGGTTTAAAAAGCTCCAATCTTCTTCTAAAAATAAACCCTATCAAAGCCATATGTTTCTTTTCGTGCTCGTTTTTCTTTCTCTTTTGATTTTTGCATCAATTCTTGTCTAAATCTACAGAAAATGAGCCATATGTCACAATGTGTGGCACAGAAAGGTTCTTCCTCTCTGCTTCAGTCCAATACACCATGGCAGATCATGCACATATCACAACTTATGGTCTAGAACCACACATCTTCACTTTCTCTCCCTTTTTAGCCTACATGGCTCACATTCAACCTCGGACCTACATTTTAAGGTTATTATCAAACCTAAAATGTTCCTTAATCCTCTATAACCACTCTATTCACTATTCTTACTTAATTAAACTTGATTAATCCCTTAACAGCCTATAGATTAAAATTTAGGATGTTACAAACAACTATACTGTAACATTACACTAAGGTTTTTCTTGGTGTTTTTTTATTTAACGTCTAAGTTATTTGCACTATTATGCAGATTGTGTGAAACACAACACAAAGATGAATGGATATATTGAAAAGGTTGCAGAGCTATTGTGAAATGATCTAAAGCAATGAGAAGCAAAAAGCTTAAAATATTGTCAACAAGTTAATGTAACTCTGCATGAGGCCAAGAACTAAGGTTATGTCTCAATATCAAAAGGAAGCAGTCAAGTTTAATTCAGGGATGGAGTCATGGAGATATTAGAAGAAACTAGAGAGAAAGCAAAACTATTTTAATAGTACCCAGAAAAAATCACTACATTGTGGGAACTGAAAGCCCATAAAAAATGATGAAAAGAAAGGGTTAACAAGTCTCATACGGTTATACCTAATCTCGAGAATTCACACAAGCTGCTTACAAACATGCCATAGTCTCAAGAGTATTCCTTGTATGTTATTTTTTCACTTTTCAGCTAATGATTTGAGATGCTAGCAGTCTCAAGAAGCAAGATATTTATAAAAGGAAATACATTGGCTACCCCTATTTAAAGGTGGAAAAAGTATGCCAACATGTAAACTTCATTCACTGTAGAGGGAAAGCCAATTCAAAGTATCCATTTTTCTCTATGAAAGTGTAACTAACATATGCCCTCACCAAAGAAGCATCAATACGGGTACGAGTATCGAATATGATACAACATGATACTCAGACACAATAATTTTCAAAAATT